GTCCTCTTTCTCATCTACATGATTATATAAGATTTCAGCTTGAGTATGCAAGATAACATTAGGTCATTATGTTTTCATCGACGATGACTGTGCTAGAAGAAAATGAAGAATCACTGCTCAGTAATTTGGCTCTCATTACAGACTGCACTGGCACAGGTCAGTGGGTTCGCTTTGGCTACAGAGGGAAATGGCTCACTGCATTGTCAATACTGAAACTGCCATTGTTGATGCTAATGTCTTATTTCTACCCTCAATGCAAGATGCACTCAATAGCAAGCTATTAAATATAACGTGCTTAAAAGGTGCCACAAACATTATTAGTGTTTATTTAATTGGTTGTTGTTGGGGTTTCTTCTGCTTCAATTTGCCTTCAGTCTAAATTGAGCATGTGTTTTAGGACAACTACAAAGTCAAATTTGAAGAAAAAAACAACAACAAAAAAACATAGGGGTTTTCCAACCTGTGTATGCAATAAAAGTCTTCTATAATTATTTTCAACAGAACTACGTACAATGACAAAGCAGAGTTAATCACTTACGCTACTGCTTATCAATTATTCTCCTGGTATAAAACATCTATTATTTAACAGTGCAGACTGCCAAGACACTCATACATGTATAGTTGAAAGCCTGTCTGCATTAGTATTGACAGAATAGAAGCCAGTTCTCACAGCAAACAGCAGATCTTTGCAATAACGCTATGCCCTATACTCAATGGGTGTAATGACTGATGAACACTGTCTTATGACCAGTGTAGTTATGACTGGGGATACAGCTCTTATGCAAGTTGTTTCGACAGTTATTTAATCTTATTCCACCATACAGTACATCTGGTTACTTTATGTCAATTGAGTTTCACAGTGCAGTTCTGTACAATAATGCTATTGCCCAGGCCCAGTAACTTCATTACACGTCACTCAAGAGACTATCTATGATTAATACCTTGTAAAAACGGACTATTGTGCAAATGTTATTTTTGGTTTGGCAAAGATGGCTCTCACCATAGTGCAACAATATCTTTTGATGGTGCTTAGATGTAATGCATCACTGAATGATTTTAGTCCATGTGGAGTTAATGGCTCTGGCCTAAAGATATCAATAAGAAAGAGACAGTAGCTCTGCATTTCAAATATTTACTGGACATTAAGGTATGCTAAATCATCAAATACTGCACAGTACTCCCTATGGATTTAAACCATAGTCATGTTTCGCTCTGTTTGATGTACTGAGTAATTTACTTTGCTAGTGACAGAAATGTCATGTCATCGGCCATTTTAAATAAACAACATTGATATTTACACTTTAACAACATAGGACTGTGCTGTGTATGAGGTTCCTACAGGGGACAGACCCAGATCAGCATACCATGACATTTCTTGGTCATGCATGTAAAATCATTATGTATAAAAGTGGTAAGTCAAGCCAGATAAAAAGATAAAGCCGTGGTTCTAAATTACCGTAGCCCTCAATTGTTGTCCATTACGATTTAACCTCAGGCATATGGTTAGGTAGTGTAGTAAAAACAGTATTTTGTAAAAGAATTCACAATGATCTGTAAAGAAAACAACAAAAAACAGTACGAATGAATATCTACAGTTTAGAGGGCAAATGCATGTGGATGACAAGGAGAGTGCTCTGCTCACTCATCTACTCCTAAAACATAATAAATCACAAAATAATAAAACATTTTGAGGAGCTAAATATATCGCTAGGCAAAACCCAGACATACATTACATCACCCATATTTTCTAGCTACTTGAACTGTTCATGTCATACTGCTGGAAGATATTTGATAACAATATACCACACATCCCTCAAGTTATGAGCAACTTGCCTTGATTACAAATTACCCAATATTTCACGTTCACAGGGGACATGCTGCTGAGCTTGCGTGGGCTTGCAGCAATGTTATTGGGCTGTGATGCCTCAGTTTGAAGAATGCTTGATAAAAGTCCAAATCCGCAATCCAGATGAGAAACAAAGCGGTACTATCAACTGTATTCAAAACAGAACTGGATATTATTGGTCAAACAGTGAACTGATTATCCTATTTATAAACAACTAAAAATAGTTATAAAGAGTGCTATTGTATTCCCATGCTTAAAAGGTTTGTTTTGCCAGTACTTGCAATGCTGGAGTGATATATGCCTGGATACCTGAGCATGACTGGAAAGAAAAGGTTAAAAAGATGTTTCCATCCTCAAAATGTTCAAGAAAGCAGAAGAATTTTTCATCATCTTTGACCAGTTGCAAACATTTTGGGATTGGACTTTAAGTCACGGCATGAGCAACCTGGGAGAGTGACTCAGCGGCTGAGCTGTGATCCACAGCATCAGTGTGGGACTCGGAGATGGAGCTCCATCTGCTCACTGAAAATAATCAAGTAGAAAGGAACATCAAGCGTTTTCAAGGCCCGGCAATAATGTTATATTCAGGTAAAGAAATTAAAAACTACTGCAGGATCAAAAACTAGGAATTTCAAAACATTTGGCAGTAAGTTAGTCCCTCACTATGTCAGCCTCCTGATCAAGCTGTTCAGAAAGTCAGCAAGGTCTTGCTCAGTACAAAAATCTTCCATATTCTAGCATTTACTGACTAACTAGGGCAAGTGCATCCAGAAAAACAAAACACACTCGCACATACACGGAGCCCCAGAAATAAAGTGCTTGGGATCAAGGATGAGCAGCTGTGTGCCAAGATTTCAACATGCAACAAGCTGGCAGCAATTAGGGAGTCTGCTGGAGAGGCTACAGGGAGCGGGATGGCCATTACTACTGGTCCTTCACAGCGAAACTACAAGAACGTTTGGGATACATAGTATGCATGGATGAACGAATAAATTATTGTCGTGTATGTGATTGATAATACTTCAAACAAAGTAAAGGAATAAACGACGCTGATAAAATATTTTCAGTGTTAGATTGATAAACTGATCAATATGTTGGAATTAACTGAATAAACTACCTGAAATGATGGAAATATTTGTTTAGGGTATAGTCAAATTAAATGAATGAATGAATGAATGAATGAATTGACATGCATTGACTGGTTTTTCATTTTCCTCCCAATCAATGTGTGCTATAAGGGTGGCATGAAAGATGAAAGCTAATGCTTACTTTTTTTATGTTTTAAACAATTTGCTGTAATTTGAGCTGGATGCATCTATTTGACATCATTCACTTCGCATTTAGTCTCCATTTTACCAACACAGAAAGTTTTTTTCCATACTTTCTCTTCATAATAGGCTCTTGCAAAAGTTTCCTGAGGCCATAACCTATTTCTGTCTCCATCATGAATACTGTATGAACTGCATTTGTCGCTATATAAACATCCAAGCAGTCCAACTTCACAGTGAGCCAACTTTCCAGCCTGATACAACACAGCTATAGGAAAATACATTGGCAAGCATCCAACCAACCGTGAGAGAGACTGTAGAATTTGAATACAATCCATTTTGACAACATTCCTAACCGTCTGACTGGCAGAGGCAATTCTGGGAGTAAGCAGTTCGATTATAGACTGTTTAAAAAGTATGAAGAGTGTGCATGCACATGCAGGACATGTCTGCTGAATTTATTGATTCATATGCACTTAAGTGGACTTGCTGTCTCTGTGTGTTCCTGCATGTGTGCAATCAGGGGAGATGGTGAACAGCAGACCCCACGGCACCAGGTGTCACAGAGAGAAACAGCTGAGAGAGAGAGAGAGAGAGACAGCTGCTTCTTCTGGTGTGTATCAGAGGTGGTCCTGCTCTAATGGTGGCGAAATCTTTCCCAACACTGGACTTCTGCTTTAAAATGTACCTTCCAAAAGCTGTAATAGCACTCCCTGCCCTCCTACTGCCTGTGTCACATTGGGTTAAAGAGGTATTTTATAAGGTTAGAACAAGTGGGGGTTTGATTGTGGATTAATAACCAGGAGGGTGTTGGCTAGGATAAGAAAACAATATCTAGTCTCAGCACACAATGTTAAAAAGTCTCAGCTCTAAAACTTGCCACAGTAACAGTTTTCATTATCTTAGAAATGCCTATTATACAGATTTGAAAAAGGCCAAATAAGGCACATGTTGATGTGGAAACACCTTATGATATACCTTAGAAGGATATATATCAATATCACAGAGAAAAAAAAAACATTCCTAGAGGAATATGGACCATTATATTACAAAGTCAGTATGCCTCTCTACATAATCATTACCATTAGAGTAAGTGCTCATGTAATGAAATGACACCTTGCAACTGTACATCAGAGATGTTTCTCACAAGCACTATCACAACAAAGTGAATGACAGTCCCCCTCGGTTATTATTTATCCGATACGGCACCAGCTGAGACCCCCGGGACCTATAGAAGGTGTTTATGTTTTGAATGCAGAGTGATAAGGTAGGCAGGCCTATCCTTATTTATTATGTTGATGCCATCATATTAGACAGGCCCGGTGCGTAGAGTGCAATCTATTGCCCATATGTGCGTCCACGGCCTAGCCCCTATCCGTGCATCCGATCTGAGAGACCTGGGTTCAGAGTGATGCATGGTCCCCCAAGACTGTTCAATCTGCACGCGCCTGACGACAGAAATTCAATTAAAAATGTTCGACCCACATCCAAGAGGTTCGTGATGGATACCGCCTGTAACGTCGAAATACTCGTACAGCCCGATGAGACTGTGGTGGAGCTGTAACCATCCACACCGTAGCCCACTTGGTCCAACCCAAAATGGGGTCACTGCCTAATAACGAAAGCACATATTTCAGGAGGTGTTATTCGAGCTGTTGTCATCTAAGACTGCGGAATGACAAGTCAGTGGACTAAAATGTAATGTGGCAAATCACTACAAGCTGTGCGCATCTCTCCAGCACGTCCGACGCGCAGTACGCATCTCGTCCATGAAACCCGTCAGTGGTTTTTGTCATTTATGGCAACAATGTGGCAGACCACCGGTGATCACACCGACAGCTCTACTGTAGCTCTCCCAGAGCCAGACTCGCCCCTTCCCGACTTACCGGATTTGAAAAACGCCGCTATGTCTGCCGCGTCCTTCGCAGCCTCATCCAGTCCCTCTCCTGCGCTCATGGCTGTGGTCGCTTGTGCAGAAATAGCGATAGATATCCTCAAAGGGTTTTATTGTTGCAATAATTATTGATCAGCAAAACGAACCCTAAAGCCTTTCATTGAAGCAGATCCGGTCATACAATCTGTACTCCCTTCATTAAGCGAGAGACCTCCTCCTCCATTTTGGCCGAGAAGGGAAAATCCTGGCGACCGATCGGCGGCGCTCCCGAGTTGGGACGTGAGGGCGAGTAGGAGGAGGAAGCGGGAGGGGGTTGATAGTGAGACAAGGCGGAGGTAAAAGAGGAGGGGAGGAGAACGGAGGGAGGAGGGCTATTCCGTTTCGAGTGGTGGGTGGGGGTGGGATATCCTGGGATTCCGTTTCGGGGGGTTTTGGTGCATTGTGCGCCACCCAAATTCAGTGTGCGCCACAGCACATCAGCAGCACCCAGCGTCACTCACTGCGGTGCTGATGCGGGCTGCGTGGGAGTCACTCTTCAGGGTTGACTGATAAACAGTCAGATGTTATGGGATCATGTATATCACTGCTTTCGTATAAATGCAGTAGCAGCGTAGTAGTCCTTATTATACAGGGCCTTATAGCTCAGCTCTTGAGTTCTGGTGTTGCATTATTTAGTTTTCTGTTACTGTTTGATTGCAAGTGCTTCATAAATAAGGGTAACATTTATTTTGCCAGTCATGGTTATTAGCAATGTTTTCAGTGGAGGGAGAAAATGACGACGGGGGAGAAGCATTATTTAATTCTGTCTTCATCTCCTAGTGATGACGATGATGCTACAGTATGAGGTCATTTGCCCCACAAATCTAACCTAGTTCTCCCTGACAGCTGCAGCTCCGTCCTGTTAACTAAAAACAGTGCAATGCTGCCACCCAGAGGTTGCTTTCACAAATTGCCCCGGAGAGGTCAGCAACGGTGCACTAACGTCACCAGTTTGGTGATATAAAGAGCATTACTGAGACTTAATGTTTGCCTCGTGTATTCAAATGACACGAAGGTCTAAATAATAAAACACGGAGCATAGTTAAAGAATTTGAAAAGAATAAACAGGTAGACGTCACATCAATAATTAGACTGACGTCTGCCCGTGACGTCATCCGTCTGATTGACGTCACTAATCAGGCCCACCTGGGGAGACACAGTACGTTGTTTCCTAATGCCCCTAAGTGTTCGTGGTGGTTTTACAACAACTTTAGTATCCCAATTAATGATTAAACAATGAATACAACAACCTTTGTAAAAAAATAAATAAAACCTAACTAGTTGTAGCTAATTGGTTAGCCTATCCAGTTAGCTGACAAGAACTCAGTGTATTGCTAACCATGGTTAAGGCCTACTTACAAACTTAACCTGCGTTACCTACGAGCAGTTGGCTTTTTCAGAGAAGTAACGTTAAAAAAGTTGCATTAACGTTAAGTTGAAGAGTGGGCCTCCTAGCGTCTATAATACAAGTAACAAAGTGACTTGCCCCCCCCAAAAATCTTCCCTGTTCCTAATTTAGTTACCGATATGACGGGACTGGAGTCTATGGCGTTCATTGTTCACCTGTCTGCCATAGGCTACGTAACGTTAGTTAACACTTTTAATGCGATTGCACAATTTGTTTGTATGTCGAAACAAATAGTTTCTAAAAGAGGAAAAAGAGCCACTGAATACATTGTCTACATTTCTTTCGGGACCAGCCCACCACCCATTTGACAAATGTCTAGTTACCTTGGAAACCTCTAACAACATACACGATCCCCGCTGGCAAAACGTGTCGGGTCGCTCCAATCACGAAAACAAATCTCAGAACATTTGAACCCCGAAACAAACACCGGATAGAAACACCTCCTGGACGCGGATGCAACCGGACATTTAGAGCAGCGGTAGTTACAGAAGAGGCGCGTCTTTGAAGGAATGTTTGAGCCATGTCTTTCAGCTCTCGGCTCGCCAAAGTCAGCTACAGGAACAGACCGAGCCAGTCTTCTGCCCCAGTGGAATCACTCAAGGAGATGCAGGTTTGATCCCAATTGCTTATAACAGAAGAGATGAGTTATCATCGTGACAGTGTGACGCTTTTAGGGCTATGAGGGGAAACTCTGCATCCCCTCAATCCACCTTACAGTTCAGGCCTAAAGAATCCTTAAAACGGACCATTCTGGTCCATAAGGCTTTGAGATGGCTCTATTAGTGTGATAGCCTGCTTTTAGGTATTAGGTCTACAATAATGATCTATTCTGAATATTAGTGTTTGGTTCTGTGTGCCCAACTTTAACTTAAAACTGTTTCAGCCAACATATAAAGTCATTATTATTTTGGCATTAATCTTACTTAAGATTGTCTAAAAAATATTCTTTTTTATGTTTTAGCATTTTGTCAAATTGCAATATAAAAGGCTTCAATCAGTGCATGTCTCTAACCAGATTTCACATTTTATCTTTGTGCTCCTCAAGACACAGAACTGGTAAGGCTAGAGATAATAAGTTATACATATTTAAAGACTTGGTGGATTGGCTTTTTTCTATCAAACGGGTGCCCAAGAGGTTCTGAATATTTGTCAATTATTTCTTTTAATTAATTTAAATTTAGCACAGCTAGGAGTAGCTAATGGTGGTATGTGCTGGGAGAGTGAAACCTTACACCAGAATTCCCTTATTCCCACATCAGAATAAAAAAGAAAGATGGAATTAATCAGCATTTCATTTCCAACTCGAGAACCCCTGGAGTCCTTTTGATAATTGCTCTGAGAACCACTACACTACTAGACTCACTGGCCTCTCAGCATTAGTCAAGCCTAGACGTCTCACAACCTACTGTATGTGTTGCATTATGAGCCTCTGTCCACTAGATGGTAGTGTGTTGTTGCTGTAATGTCAGATGAGCCTCAGGAGGCTGGGTGATGTACCACTAACATCTTAAAGGTGGCTTGTGAGTTATTTAATCTTGGTGGGGTTTTTTATTTTGTAATTATTTACCACTCATATTTATTTATTTTTTTGTACAATTACTTAAAGTCCAGCCTTTCACACAAGCTATGAAATAAATAATCCTTGGTTAAATTGTATTACTCTAAGGCAAAACCAATATGTACTGCACTGTACTATAACAGTAGCCACAGCAAAAGCCAAGCCACAACCCCCTGACTCTGTGGCTCTGCTCCATTGTGTCATCTTCTCTGTTGAACACAGTATGTACAGGCTTTTTGATGACATTTTTGCTGAGAAGAAAAGACTATTAGGCAACTTCTACAGTATCCGCTCATCTTCTTTATGTCCATTTTAGGCCAGATAAAGAGATTTAAGATAAAGTAAATCAACCAATTAATATAAAACAATGATCATTTATTGGATTTAATTTTTTAATTGCACCCAGGAGTGGTTGGAACCAACTACACAACAAAGTCGATTACAGGAGAAACAAAATGCAGAGTCCTCCAAGCTGTTTCAGCTGCTGAGACATATTGTGCTACAACCGGGTGTCATTTTTAAACAGATTTGTTTAAGTTCTGTGGGTCTGTCATTGTGAGCATCCCCTGGGAGAACAGTAGACCTTTCTCTGTCTTGCTCCCTCTGTCTTTCTCTTTCAGATCTCACCTCCCCCTCATTTATAATTTACAGTCACTCTCCTGTTTCATGGCAGCTCAAAACCAGACAGTTCAGCTTAGAAAATCAGTCATTGCATAGTGAAAAATTGATGACCAAACTGCTTTTAAATGCAGAACTTCGCAATCATTACTTCAATATCAAACCGCCAGTCAGATCTTTGTGGCAAGAGCTGTGGTTCTCGTCTGCTGGGTGCCACGGTAAAAGCAAACGGAATTTAATATTCATTTCGTGGGAGGTCTATGTTTGTGTGTGTTCACTGAGCAAATGATTAGGGTCTCCTCACTAGACTTGTAACTGATGATTATTTTCATACAGTCTAATCTTTTTTTTTTTTTTTTACCATGGTCCCATAATTTAATCTACAAAATGTCCACAAAAGAAGGAGAGAGATAGCGACCCCAAGGTGGCATTTTCAAATAGCTTTTTTTTGTCCAAAATCAAATTGTATTCAATTAGCAATGATATACTTTTTTAGAAAAAAGTAATTTATTGTTAGCAGCCATGCTTTGACGTGAGACCTATAAGGTGTTACCGCATACTAAGACTGTGACACGTCTGTGTAAGTGAGAATAAAACTAAAAAGCACAAGGCTAATGCATGCTAAATGTCACCATTGTATTCTTAATCTATGAAGCTGTTACTACAGTCATGAGCAGTATCAGTTAGCATACAATGGTAATGCATACAATATCCATAAAAGGTGTTTAGTCCGTGAAACCTGGGGACCTTCAAGAGTTTGACAAATGTCATGTCACAAGGTCATTTTTTAAATTCACTCTATGTTTTATCTGTCGGTTTGTGTGCGTGTGTGTCTTTGTTTCAAAGAGGTTTTGTCAAATGTTACCCACCCACACTGTATTCCAATATATCAACAACCTTTCCAGTGCCACCCTCACCCCCATCCCTGTCTCTCCATTTCATTGTTGTAATAGAATTGTAAGGTGAGAGCATGAGCCTTGATAATTACCCTGCAGACAGATGGTCATCCAACACCACATTATCTAGTTAGCAGTCCCCTTTTAGGAGCAACACTCATAATTTCAGGGCAGTAACCTTTCTCACATGGCAAATAAGAAGGCTGATTGCTCACGTACTGTAGCAAAGCCACTTGTTCTCTGTCTTGTCTTCTTTGTTGGGAGCTGTAATTCTCTAATGTCATGAAAAGCAAAGCCAATTAAGAGGGTGGAATGACCTGAAAAGAAGTGTCAGACTGAAAGGCTGACGACGATGCTGCATTTTAAACCAGACTATCAAAACAAGGTAAGGTGACCCAAGAGTTCTGAAGTTACAGACAACTTGGCTTCATGACTATCTGCTTTGGCCAAATGTAATTCATCATTAATGTGTTAGGATTCAGTAAACAGCTGATGTGTTTGTGTCAAAATGTGGCTGGGAGAAAAGCTGAAGGCTAAAGCAAGGGAAACACTTTTTTTTATTGTTTTGTTATTATGTATGTAGGCCTGTATATGTTTTAGTGTGCTGCAGGTTTCTCACAACAGCGGATTGTATCCGACAATATCCTCTGTCTGGTGTATTTATCTAAGAAAGATATGGCAACTAGTGAAGAAGTTACACTTTTTCCTGAATGTACATGCAGTAGACTACCAAAGAGAATTGTTTTACATTTTCTATATAGATCATTAGGGTTAGGTTAAGTTAGATTCAGACATCAGAGCTGTTTTCTGTATACCTCAACTTTGGAAAAACACATCCATGAATTATAAATTAGACACGACATTTAATTTAGTTAATTTTTTATTTTAACATTTCTGTTACTATCTGAGCACACGAAAATGACAGCACACACATTAGAGAATGTGTGCATAAAATAGGTAGAGAGATGAGTTTTGTCCTGCTTTTGAGGCATTTAGTGGGTTTTGATCTTGTCATGCAGTATCATCAAATTAGAAGAGCTGTGTGGTGCTGTATTTACTTAAACTAAGGACCAAGCTTCTCAGTAATACACAAGAAAACATGTTGCCATGGAAGAACCAAATGTGATTTTTTTTTTTTCTTTTTGTTTTGCTATTGTTGTTTCTGAAAGGAAAAACCTTGGTCGTTCAATATGATTCATAAACTAGACTCATACTGGCCTGTTGTGTTATGGTTGTTATGACCTTTAGCTGTGACAATAATTTTGAGACAAACATGGTTTAGTACATAAGGTAAATAGCAATGTGTCCCTGCATTTTGATTATAATTAGTATTTGCAAAGCTTAGCCACTGATCTTTAATGAACATTAGATCCATATGGTCTATGTGATCAGGTGCCATTGGTGACATAGTGGGTGTCTGTGAGCAGAAGCCACCCACAGGCTCTTATTTGCACTAGTTTTTCACTTGCACAGTTTCTAATGAAAATGGACAGCTATGTTCCGGCTTGTTACCCTATCCTGTTAGAACAGTGATACCTGAGGTGTGTGATCAATGTGTGCCCACGTGTGCACATTCCTGCATGTTAGTTTGTGAATGTACAGTGAGTGTTTACATACAGTGCTGTCAGCGTTGCTTCATTCACATTTCTGTGTGTATTACCTGCATATTTAAGGTGGTTGTAGCTCACAAACTGTCCATGTCTTTCAGTTTGTTTGAACTGTTAATAGGGGACGTCTGTCCTGACCACATCTGGCTGTGAAAACTCATACACTGTTGACAGTAATGGCCATTAAACATAAAGCCGGCATAGCTTCAGCTCACCTGTCTGAGCAGTCACCACTGACAACTTGATAGGACTGGTCCCTTTTAGGGTGAGAGTATACAGCTCCCTTGTGTACATGTAGATGAGAAAGTGATAGCAGGTTATAGAGAAGATATAGGAGGGTTTGAGTCAGAGAGGCGAGGAGCTGTCATGTCGCAGGTGTTTAGAAAGCAGCTTTGGAAACAAACAGTGTCCAAGGTCATAAAGGTAAGAGAAATCATGTAGCACTGCTGTTGTTCCCGTTCTGGTGTCATTTGAAGGTTTGCTCTCATTTTAGTTGACTGATCCACAGGATTCTCATGTACTCAGCCAAGCACTGGTTCTGATGGCATATTTTAAATGGATGAAACAAGCTGCAAAACTTTATCCACAACTACTGTGTTGACTTTGACTGTGTGGTATTTCTGTCCCCCGAAAGATTTGATTTAAAAAAGACTAAATTATTTTTTCTGTTTATTTGAGGTTTGTCAGGGGACTGAAATCATTTTGTATTGCTTTTTTAAATATTAACTACATTATCAGAATATATTTCTGCCAAACTGTCCTGTCACAGCTGTTTTCACTAATTCCAAAAGCCACCGTTTGTTTATTATAGGGATTGTCAGTCTCACCATAGCTTATCTCTGGATGGGGCTTTGTTTGCTTCTGAAAGCTATTAATGTTGTAGTGGATATTACATGGGTCTGTCAGTGCTGGATTCTGTCAGTACTATGGGAATAACTAAATGTGGTTCTGTGTGTGTGTGTGTGCCTGTCTGTCATTGTTGGAGCGTGTTGTGTTTGGCTAGTGTATTTTGTGTATTTTGTGTATTTTGTGTATTTGTGTATTGCATTCAGCAGTGACTTAGTCTACTTGTTTGAATAATGTGCCCCACACTGCATTGTGTCTGTATTGTTTGTCTCTGGGATGAAGGCTGAGTTGGCTGCTCACACAATTTGGAATAGAGACAGAGAGAAGGTGTGAAACGCCTGGTCGCCCAGCAACTGATGGCTTAGCATGCTTTTTTTTATGGTCGACCTGCAATGTGAGTGTGTGAGTGTGTGAGTGTGTGTGTCTCCAGAGACTTTCACAAGGCTGGTGTGATTTATTGTCAGAGTTCTGTAGTGGTTTATTTAAACTTATTTGAAATAATAAAATATAAATAAATGCTAAACAAATATTTTGTATTTTTCTAAAATGTAAAAGTACACTTTGAAACACAATTTTTATGTTACAGGACTCAGGAAATCAATTAGACCTGCTGCTCAGCATCAGAGTATTTCTGATTTACAGACTCAAATATGAAGATTACTGATCTTGAAATTATCACTAGTCTAGAAATTAACATTGTACAATTAGTGTCACACAGGTCATACACATGTGAGCCCTGTTTGATATTGTTCCACATGGGTGCTTACAATAGATCTCTGTCTGTTTAAGTTCCCCTCCAGACATGCATTAAGACACACAGATAGTCTACTTGGAACAGTGATGTGTCTCTGTTTTTTTTTTCTGCCAAGAAAAGTATAATTTTCCACATTAAAATGCGTAAAAAGGCATCTGCTCCTTTCCTCATTGAAAATTCCAGAATCTATTAATATGCAAATTTATTCATTTATCAAGTTTTCGTGGACACAGGATGTCTCCTTCTTCACTGTAAAGTCCATTCTCAGCTTATGTGCACTGGTGGTTTCTACACCACACTTGCAGAAGTTAAAAATAGCTTTATAGCTAACATGCTTTATCATCAGAAATGCTTGTGTATATTGAATGTGTGCGCTTAGCAACCATGCTGTCATCTGTTTAAGTGACCTGGGACTTGCAGCCACTGTTTGTGAGAGTTGTTTGTTGGGGCTTGTCAAATATTAACATGACTTGTGAGAAAGTTAATAATTGTGCAGCTTTTAAGGGGGTTCCAGGTAAACTGCAGGTGCACACTGTTTGTGGTCTGTTTCTGTTGTCTGGTTTCACAATACAAACTTGAGTGTCAATTTGGTTATGTCCGACCTCTTTTAAAGCTGTTTACGGTCTAATGAATCGTTGCTTTGTTGACACACACAGCTTGTGAGGTTGTTTGCATGCTCCACCTCATTCTGGCTCTGCGTGACCAATCCCCCAGGCTCTAACTAACAAGAATCAATACCTCAACCCTTAACCACACTGACTTCTTTCCATATCTTCCTGCCTCTCACTCTCCTTTCTTGTCCTCAGGTCTTTACCTGTTACAGTGCCCCTCTTTCTCCCACACTCTATTTCTATTTCTCACCCCTCTTGTCTTCCTTTTATCATTTTTTCTTCACTGTGCACAACAAGCAATCCTATATCTCGTTTTCGGGAGTTTCATCTTTTTCCTCTGCTGTCTTCCTCCCTTATCAGTTTTTGCCCATGTGTGCAGCTCTTTCTTCTACCAGTGCTTCATGTCTGTGTAATCACCCTTGCCATCTTTTGAATTGGCATCTTTGCTCTTTATGATTCTTTGAAAGCTTTATACAGGGTTCTATCTGATCTATTCCTCAAAACCTGTCACATCTATGGTCTCCAATCCGATTCTCAATACGGTCCTTGGGGACTGACTCAGGGTCCTTGCATGTACAATGTGTCCTGTGCTCCATGTATGATTGCAGACTTTAGCAGTCGGTTTCATTTGGCAAGAGAAAATAGATGGATAAGGCTAAACAACAGTGTTCTATGAAGTACAGACAACCACATCGATGTGTACTTTAAAAACACAAGGGAGGGAGAGGAGAGAAAGGGAGAACATGGTGAGACACTTGATCACTTAGTATGTCATTCTAAATGTTAAAGTTTAATCCAGTTGTTAACAGTTGTCTAAACAGAATGGTGTATTAAAGATCTCAAGTGATCTATTTTTGGCATGGCCAGTCACAGTATGATGTTTCCTGCTTTGTTGCAGAAGATGGGCTTTTAAAAAATGGTCTGACCATGGTGACGTCAATGCAAAAAGTATTTTAAGCCAGAAATAGCTATTCCTGTCATTCCCTGTTTAAATTCGAGACAGACAAAAGGAAGGGTAAATGAGAGATTTAAATGCACCATGCAGCTGGCACACCATGCAACACCAGGTTTCATGTAATTTATTGACTAACCTTGTTCTTGTGTTACTGAGCAGCGTAACCTGGCAACCCACTGTGGTTGATGTTACCGTCCCGCCATCCTAAATGCAGTGCCTGTTGTAAACTGCCCATGTTGTTAAATCTTTTCTAAGGACCTGCATTTTGCAGACTTTGGATGGGTGCTAAAACACTCATTGGAGAGAAATGGAGGCACTTGTCAAAACCAGAAAGATGAAAATGGAGATGTGCCTTTGAAAATCTTGAAGGAATACTGACATCTATTTTTGGATATGTTCTGTCATTCTTGTGTGGAGCTATATACAAAGCACAGAAGGATACTGTTTTTTTATTCATTGGAACCATACATAACTATGGTTCGTCTTCTAAGTTTTTATTAAAATGATGTCTGAGAAAAAGTGGAAGACCACAGGAGAGTCATCGATCATTATCAACAGCCTCATCAGTACACACAAAGTATGTGAAATATGGCTGAATGACTTTGTGCTCTGTTCAGTCATGTGATGGCTTAACTCGATATGTGCTCCTCTCATGGAAAACATTTAATTAAACGTGTCTGTACATTTTGTCTAGCAAAAGCTGAAAGAGGAGCGTGAAGCTAAGCGGGCCCAGCTGGATGGAAGACATGACTACATCCTCAGCATTGTGTCTTCATGCCTGGGAGTGGAGAAAGCTGATGTGGAAGATGCAATACTGGAGGGGAATCAGGTACCCTGTATTCATTATTCATTCATTATTTTCAGTTTTAGGATTTTTTTGTATAAACCACAGCAACACGGCTAACTAAAACAAGTAGGTATGGTAGCATTTGCAAGACATACATATAAATATAAAATAATATATATATAAATTGATATTGTTACTGGAACGAAATTACTGCCACATCTATTTTATTTGAGCTATATCAGTTTTAGGGGGTTAAGAATTTAAGTGTTGGCAATAGTAAAAAGTTTGGCCTTGGTTGCACTGTGCGTGTCTGTGCATCTACAGTAAGCACTCAACTGTCTCTCAGTTGGGGAGACTGTCTGATTGTGCTGAAAGTTTTCTTGTCATCTTTCTCAGATTGATCGCATGGAGCAGTTCTTTGTAGCTGAGGGTCTTCCACATCTCATGTTCTACTATCAGGATACTGAGCCAGTTGAAGCAGGTAACATGAAAATGTACACTAACCATGTCAAAAATGAATGTTATGTGTAGACTATATATCTAATTGCTGATGTCGGAAACATTCGATCACGGCAGTAATTGATAAGGTCCCAAATCAATTGTGATTTGATTCAACATGCTGATTCCCCAGTATCGGATCAAGCTTGTGGTGATGGTACCTTGTGTTGTTTCTGTGCCCAATTCTTGTTTCAGCAGCAGCAGCAGCAGCCTCTGTGCCCTCCCAGCTTGTTGCCCAGCAGCCTGGTCGCAGCAAGAAGTCTAAAGTGTTTGTGACAGACGGGAGGGATGTGGCACTGACCGGGGTGTGTGTCTTCTTCACCAGAGCCAACACCTCTAAGACAATCACCTCTGAGAACATACACAGAGTGAGTCACTTTTCAAAGGGCTGTTTTTGGAAATGTGAGGCATCATGACTTTCAGGGTGGTGACAGTCAGTCAGAGATATAAAATAAAAACTGTGAAACTAATCATTTCACCTTTGAATAACATTTTCAGGTGTGGGAATAATATAAACCATATGCATTTTTAAAAGATAACAAAGTTGAAATAGTTTTTGTACTGTTCTGTTTTGTAGTTTATGTAACAGACTGATTCTTTCACTGTAACAAAATATTGAATTTTTGAATGACAAAAGGACACTTGATTCCTTTTGCAGTGATCTATCTTTAAACCCATTCGTGTGATAAATTGTTTCCCTTAACTAAGGCAGCTTCTTTTCATCCAGAGCCAGTGGGACACTAGGGGATTCAGCAATAGCACTCTGATACCATGGGCAGTTCTGGCTATTGATTCTCGCTGATCACCTGCTGTCAGCAGCAAAGCTAATCACCAGCACTGATAACAGGGCATGTTTGCTACGAGACAGTTCACAGCAAGAGAGGAGAAAGGACAGCTTTTGTGTGTGTTTGTGTGTAAAGCTTGGGTGTGCATGCCCACGTTGTGAGTGCACCTGTTGTGCCAGAGTAGTGTAATGGTTTTTTGTATAAATAAAAAAAAAAATAGTAATTTGTTGTTGATAGTGTAGATTAGCAGGTTGTTGGTTAAAAGCATCAAAAATTGGGAAGCAATTACACAAAAAATGTGATAAATATGAAAAACTCACAAAGCAATAATTTATTTGGTGTTAATGGACAACAGAACATTTTAAAGGGTTAAGTTACTGGCTAGCTTAACCTCACAAAACCTTTCACCCATGTGGGGAGGTCGATGAATGGAGAATGGGAACTCCACCTGCAGTCGACTGCCTGGAACTGATGGAGGTATTTCTGGTTTTAAGACGCTTTCTGTCTCATATAGGAGGCCACCGTGTCTTAGTCAGGTCAGACAACACTACAGTTGATTTAGGAAGTCAGATCAGTTTTTTGTTTCATGGACTTTTCCGCATACAGGGAAACCTCTATATAAGCAATGTCTTTTCCACTGGTTGGTAGAAACTATTGCTGGCCTATGGCAGCATCTTGGGCCTCATTCAAGAGCATTTCTCTCCTGGATATATGTTTGGCAGCCAGTTGGGCCTCACCTTCTCCTTAATTGGACATCATTGAACCAACACTGGCACACACAGTTTTAAATGCAGTCTCCTTAGAGGGATGTTTTACCCAGGAGTTAATAGCAGTTGGCCTTTGAATTAAGCTTGTCTGGAAATACAGTTGTCCTTATATCCCCCATAGTGAAATAGTGAGGGAATACTTCAGAGAGATTACAACCGTAATCCCGGATTTCTGATGCATGAGACTGATATCACACCAGTCTACCCTTCTTGCATTTATCAAAGAATTATTAGAATGACTTAGTAGGCAAATTGTGGCTGGCGTAATGAAATAGAGAGCTACATGGTCAGCATAATCCATAGGGAGATACCTCACTCATGCTATCAGAGAACCATGGGTATGGTTGTAACCTTACATTTTTAGTTTCTGTGAGTGTGTATGTCTCATGTGTGCACTTTTATCTCTTTGTAGGATGTAAATTTCAATATGCTGGACACAACAGAGGTGGGTCTGTTAAAAAGTGTGGAGCAGTTGCTATCTGAGATCTTCATCCCCACGCTGAGGAAGATGAACCACGGCTGGGGGGAGATTGCCAGTCCTCAGGCCCAGGCTGTCAAACAGGACTTCATATCGTCATTGGAAGGCTTCGTTTCTGTTTTAGCTGGAGCACAGGAGAGCCTGCAAGAAAAGGTAAGGAACACATACTGTTAAACATCAAGGATAAGTTGGATTGTTAAAGTCCAGGTAAAAGGAAAAATGTAATTTTAAAATCAAAATCATTAAAAAAGTTAGTTTCTTTGTATTTTTATTAGGGCTGGACAAGTTAACGCGTCATTATCGCGTTAACGCATTAATTAATTAACACCGACAATTATTTTATCTCGCATTAACACAGTTTTTTTTTACTATTATTATTATTTTGAAAGTCGGTTGCTCATTGGCTCTAAATACACATCCAGACAAACCATGGGTCACAGGAGGGGAGTGGAGGGAGGCTTCTGCAGACTACGTTGGACGCAGCATGTGGGAGAAGTATAGATAAACAAAAGCAAGACAAGCTAACAAATGCCATAGCGAAGTGGATAGCTTCAAACT